TCTTCCCCAACCGGTCGGCGACCTTCCCGAACCCGCCCCGTAACCCCATCCGGATCCTGGAGTTGAGCCCCAGCCCCAGTTGTACTCCCAATTGGGCCCACGGCCCGACCCACTTTCGCCTTGGTAGTTTTGGCCCGGTGTCATGTTACCCCTCGACCCTGCGAATGAACGAGAAACCGAAGTTTTCGCAGTGATTAAAAAAAACAAAACCAACAAAAGCCCTCTGATCATTTTAAAAGTTTGGTCTTAGTTTGTTCTTGTTTTTATATATAGTTTTACTTGTAAATTTTGTTTCGTTATGAAGTTATTGTGAGAAAGCTTCTCCCACTATTTATATAGGCAACAACATGAAGCATTAGGAAATGCGACGGTCCGTGACTAGTGGGTTTAATAGTGCGAGATGGGCCACACCCACCCTTCTTCTGAAATCCAAGCAAACAAAAATATTTTTTCTAAGGAGAAATTTTTTTGTTTTTTTTAAACATTGCAATTGCATCTCAAGATCTACACATGTTCATATTGTGAGTTATATAGTTTTTTACTTAAGACGTAGTTATCAACTGTAAATAAGCGCCACCGCCCTAACAATATAATAACTAATACGAAGCTCAATCATGAAGTCACTAGCTAGCTATAAACATTTTTACCAATTACCATTTAGTGCAAATTAACAGAAACAATATATTACTATGATTGTTGTATAACAATATTGCTGTAAACCCATCTATCCATACGCAATGATATAAAATGTGTAATAGTTTTCTTATAAATTTATATCTTCTTTTTCATCTAACGTTTGTTGTTTAAAACTATAGATTAATGCATGAGATTAGTCATTATTAATCAAAGAGTTTATATTTTCATTCTCTACTATTTATAGTCTTTTTTGTTGTTGTTAATATCAACTATTACTATATATATAGTCGGTATTACAATATATAAAAAAAGTCAAATGTAATGATTATATATTTGATATCACTGACCTACTTGAGTTTCTGTAAATTAGAAAATATTATCCTTCAAGCAGCGATTTAAGGTGCATCTCAACGTCAATCCCACTTATAAATTTTACTAATTACGGCTTGTGATCTTGAAATGTTTATCATCATTACAGTAAATATACATCCATTAAAACACATTTATAAATATCAACACCAGTGAAAATTGTAGGGGGGAAAACACTAAATTCATCTTTAAAACTAGTCGCGCACGCAAACTCCAAATCTAATCGAACAATGATGGTTAATCGGATATATATCGTGTTTATAACATATAGAATCAGCCAACATTTTATCGGTTGACTCATCGAACCTAATTAGAAACCATCCAAGCTAGCATTTGCTATAAAATCAAAATGGTCTACACTTTTCTAAGACAGTTCACAGTTGATTATACTGTATATTAAATTATTAACTAAGACACTGAA